TATTTGTTGGTCTTTCTGAGACAGGGTCTCACTATGCAGTTCAGGCTGGCCTTGAGCTCACTTTGTAGCCCAGGCAGGTCTCAAACTCACAACAACCCTTCTGAGTGCCGGGATTACAGGGGTGCACCACCACACCCAGCCCCAAGAGCTATAATTGAGAAAGCCAGCAAAGGAAAAAGTCATTGATGACCCGGAATCAATAAAATTCAGTAATTCTGGACTGCATTCCTTGAAGTATTTAATTATTCTTTGTACTGTCTAGACACCCTCCTTGATTAACTCTACACTATTACCTTGGCATCTGTCTTTATTAGACCTGAGCTGCACAGCTGTAGCAAGGATCTTGCTAAGTTAGTTTGAGAGAACCCTCACTCTTGGTATATGATAACCCTGGCTTGCTGTGTGAATCAGCTTTCTGTTACTATAACAAAATACAGGCCTAGCATGCATATGGCCCTAGATTCAATCCCCAACACAAGGGAGACTGGGGCTCATGAAGGACAGAAAACTTTTATTTTGGCTCACAGTTTTGTAGGTTTCAGCCAATGGTCAGTTGGCCCCCTCAGTTGGCAAAACGAGGTTGACTGGACCTCAATTTATGTTTCATCCCTTTTCAAGATTGACATCATGCTTGTTAGGTCCCTCACATTCTACCCCTCCCGACTTGAAGACAAAAAACTTTGACAGACCACTAGTCTGTTCAAACAGAAAGCCCCTTACTCAGTTTGAGAGACTAAAGTAAATCTGTTTATCAGGATGGTTTCCAGGCCTGGTTCTCAGGCCTACAGGAGACCTCATAAATCTACAAAACACTACGCTGTAAATCAGCAACATGCCAATGTCATCCCGCACTTCCCTCCGCCAGAGGCACCAGACCTCCCAAAGACCACTGAGAAACTTAAAATTTTCCACCTTGCTCAGTAAAACTGCCCCCTCCCATCCTAAAGTAGTCTATAAAGCAGGCCCCCCTTCCTTCGTTTGGGGCCAACGGCTTTTTCACCCTTGGCCAGGCTGCACTCAGTCTAAAATAAAGACACTGCTGTTTGCTTCAATCCTGCCTGTCTTGGTGGTCTTGGGTGCTACTCAGGGTGCAGCCTGACAGATAAGAGGTTTACAGGGGCATCCAACTGTATCCCAAGGTCTCCAGCCATTGTCCTAAATCTGTTATGGCCTGGATTCCAGGAAGAACACAGCCCCGCATGACTGATCCCACCACAGAGACACTCATTTCATGGGAACAGAACGTCTCTCGCTTGTGAAGACCTCAGAGCTAGAAACCCAGGACTGAGACAACGATCAACCAGAACCCAGGCCACCAGCTAATCCTTAAATGCTGGCTGCCTGCCTTTGGGAGTGGGCCAGTGTGATCCCCTCCATCCAAGTGTGCCCCCTCCAGTGCTCAAGCTGGAGTCCTTTCCTACTTTTTGTTTCCTTCTTTGTTAGGACTGGCCTGATCTTTGTTAACTCCTCAAGCTAAATTCCCTTACCATTTTCTCTTACTTTCTAATTAAAGCTTTTTCCTATAAATTTGTGCATGTTTTAATTATCCCTTCTTGCTAAAAGCAAGGACCCACGGTAGCCAGTGACAAGCACGCCCAGTGACTCAGTACCTCCCACTAGGCCCCTTCCAACAAGCACCAAACTGAGGCCCAAGCCCTTACAACATGCTTTAGCCCAGTGTGGGGGTGTGCATCTTTAACCCCAACTCTGGAAGGCTGAAGCAGGACTGCAAATGCCAGCCAGTCTTGGGCAACTTAGTGACTTCGTGAGATGCTGTCTCAAAATAAAAAATAAAAAAGGTCCAAGGATGTAGCTCAGTGTAAGGGCCCTGGGTTCAATTCCCAGTACCAAAAGGGGTGGGGAAGGGTTGGGGGAGATTTCAGCTCTAAACTATAGCACTTGCCTTCTACAAGAATCTCGACAAGTCAGTTCAGCCAGAACTCTAGCTTGGTCCTGATGCTTCCTCTTAGTAACTTCCCATCCACTGATTTCCATCCTGTTCAATGGCTATAAATCCTCACTTGCCCTTGCTGTGTTTGGAACTGAGACCACTTCTATACCGAAATCTTTTTTCCTCTATTCAATAGTTCGTAATTTTGTTGTTGTTGTTTTTGTGAAGGCATTGGGACTTGAACCCAGGGCTTTCACACTGAGCTACACCTCCATCTTTTTTTATTTTTTGTTTTAAGACCAGATCTCAGGGGCTGGGGATTTAGCTCAGCGGCAAAGCGCCTGCCTGGCAA